CACAAAGGGCACGTCTTGCCGCCAGGGAAATTTTTTGGAAAATACGACTCTCCCTCTCCCAACAAGGAGCAAATACGACCCCCCCTCTCCCCAGCGACCATATTCCCCTTCCTCTAGGGAATCCCTAACCTACGACATGGTCTGGTCACAATAGAGATAATTCAAGAAGTGTGTATTACCCTGGTCACGAACTCCACTTGTGACCTTGGCGCAAGCAGGCCGAATGTTCCTCCATCACTAATTCCAAGAGCAGTCTCAGGGCAGATAGGGAGCCTCAACCTCGGCTCCCGTCCCCACGAGTTTTGTTCCGTTATGCTACTTCTTTTCTATTCAGAGGAATCTTGTACGACGTATCCCCGCAATATGTACACCAATTCACACTATTTGGTCAAGTTATTAATAAGCAGATAGATGGCGAAACCGATTAGCTCCCCCGAAAACAGTCAATTAGAAGAGACCAATTTGGGTTAAGGAGCTACAGCGCTAAAGTATTGGGTCAAGGAGAGTAAAGATCTCACAATATTATGGTGGTAGAAGCCGTGCCAGAGTAGAACGAATGAGTACGAGACGAGCACTCCGAAGATCTTTCGTCGAAGCGAAAACGTAGGAGCACAGATTGGCACGAAGATGTAGTTCTTGAAGAATTGGTAGAGGCCGCGGTCGAATTCGCGCCAGATCTGGAATCGGATTTCGAAATATTTCTCACAAAAGATCTGTACATGAAAAAGGGCATAGCGAGCTGCAAAAAGGGGTTGCTGTTTAATGAGATTAAATCTGGCTTTTGAATAAATTCTCTTGTGGTGACTTCGTTGCGTTGCGTTTACATTTGGATGCGTTCACACTTGGCGAATAGAACGATTTCCGAATCGCGCGGTCGCGACTGAACGCGCATCACTGCTAATCGTTGGACCGATGTACACAACCGATGATCCGATAGCATTCAGGAGAGAACTTCTTCTCAGCATTTCAGCTGTCCATCGATCAGCCATGAAATGCGATCGGCTACAGTTCAGCGTTTTGAGAATTGCACGCGTCGCGAAACATGAACGCGACCTTCAAGTTGTGGTGAGACGTGGAGACTAGCTAGTACTGCATTGCTAGTTGACTCGAAATTCCATGGCAATTAAGGCTATTCAGTTCAGGGGGACAAACCCTTCTACGAACGTCTTCGAGGCGCCCGCTAATCTACAGTCTTTTTCGTAGTGAAGCCGGCTTAGGGTTGGAGAGGTCGCCCTTCTTCACCAACTGTTAAAACGAGCAAGCAACAAAAGCTGTTGGAAAGCAAGACTGGCGCTGCGCCACACGCGGTTTCCCACTGACACGCCTTAGCATCCGCAGTGAACAAAACTTCAGTTGTGACGACCCGTCTCCCTGTAATCGTCACTCATAGTGTTGATCCTCACCAGTTAAATGCCTGAAGCAAGTCCGAAGAAATGGGCAGGCGTCAATAGCTCCAGTAACAAGTAGGTAAAAATGAGGCCCCTCCAGAGAATTTTAGACTTCCCCATGTAGTTATGGTCTTGTTTCTACATAGTTTTTTTTTCAATGAAATGGCGTCGTCGTGCATACCTTTGAGAACAGCATCACTCGCGAAATGCAGATGGGCCCCGGCTTGGGGTCCATTTTATCGAGTTGAGCAAATACTGACGGCAGGCCGAAGATGATCACATATTTCAAGTGGAAGAATACCCCTGAAATTGGCAGAGCTTGTCCTACTGAATGACCTTCTACTAATCTCAAGATAATGTCGATTTTCGAAAAACATCCAAAAATCAGCGCAGAGTTTGCGACCTTTCACTTTGGCCTACTCACCTGCTCAGAAAAGAAAACAAGAGTAAAAGAGTGAAATTCCATCGGCAATTGGAATTTCAAATAGGCAGTGTAAGATTCCAAGAGCATCAATTCCAGGGGTTTCCAGGAAGCGGGACGCATTTTTTGATGTAGCATTTTGAGCAGCTGGGTAACTTCAAAATCAGTGAAAAAACAACTGATTTTTCGGAGAATTTCTTTACTTTGAACCAGTGGTCCCTTCAATAAAAGTGACTCTGTGAAGCTGTAGAGCTAAAGCAAAGGAAATCATCGAGTGCACTCAAAACAAAGACCTCCGCAGTCACGCAGGCGCATTGAGTGAGTTTCCGGAACTCCTGACAATTTTGCACCTGCTGCCTCTGTGCATCTCCTGGCTTACAAAGGTTTCTTAGCCTAATCCATTGCAATGCATAAGCCTTGCTAAATAGGCTGCTCATTGATTTGCCTTCAAGAGAGGTGTTCACGGAAAGGGGAGCGATTTGTGAACTAATAAAAGTCAATATGCTAGCAATCCCTACGACGAGCACATAAAATTATCCTACGACACTGCAAGCAACACGCGCGGTATTTAGCTCTGTGATTTGTAGTGATGCGTGTCACATAGGCAGAAGGATTGAGGTCAGACGTTTCTTACGCCATTATCTCGCACATTCGAGGGACGCAAGTAGTACACTTTTTGGACTGCTGGCCTGGCTACCAGTTGCGCGGAGGCATTTTGCGCATGACTTGTTCGTGGAGAGTGCCTTTAGATAAGCAGGGATATTTTGAGATATTTTAATATCTTGAAAAACTCACCTAA